AGCAGCGGCACCAGCAGCGGCACCAGCAGCGGCACCAGCAGCGGCACCAGCAGCGGCACCAGCAGCGGCACCAGCAGCGGCACCAGCAGCGGCACGTGCAGCGGCACCAGCGGCACCAACGGTCATCCGCTCCTTCCACACCTCCCTCTCCGAGGACTCACATGAGGAGTTCCTTGACCTCCACCTCTGTGACCCTTCCCTTCTACCCATCACCTTCGACCTTTCTGAGACACCAGTATTCGCATTCTCCTCTGCTCCCTCCGTTTTCATCCCTACCACGTATGAGGAGGCCATGGCTTGCCCCGACGCCCCACTCTGGCTCGCCGCCATTATCAAGGAGCTGGAGGCCTTTGTCGCCAACTCCTCCTTCGTTGATGTGCCTCGCCCTCCCTCCTCTACGAACGTGGTGAAAGGGAAGTGGGTGTTTCGCGTCAAACAGCTGCCAGGGGAGCCGCCCGTCTATAAGGCTCGTTACTGTGCCAAGGGGTTCACGCAGCGGTATGGTTTTGACTTCTTCGATACCTTCTCTCCCACTGCCAAGCCTGCTACTGTTCGCGCCGTGCTCGACCTCGCCGCTCGCCTCAATATGGAGATCCACTGGATGGACGTCTCTAACGCTTTCCTCCAAGGCGTCCTCCGCGAGCTTATCTACATGGAGCGTCCAGCCGGTTTTCACCTTCCCTTCCCTGCAGACTCTGTCTGGCAGCTGCGTCGCCCTGTGTATGGGCTTCGACAGGCCCCGAGGGAGTGGCATGCTAAGCTTGCCGCCACCCTTGCTGAACTTGGGTTCCGCACCTCCCGCTCTGACGCCAGCCTCTTCCTCCGCACCTGCCCCTCCCCGTTCTACATCCTTGTGTATGTCGATGACATGATTCTGCTCACTGCCGACCTTGGCGAATTGGAGCGTGTTAAGGCTGAGTTGGGCAGCCGTCTCAAATGCAAGGACTTGGGCGAGCTGCAGCATTACCTGGGCATGACCATCACCCGCGACCGCTCCGCCCGCACCATCTCTCTCTCCCAGGGTCATTACTTGCAGCAGGTCTTGGAGCGGTTTGACATGGTCCGCGGTGGCGCCCAACCTACTCCTCTTTCTGTCGGGCACCACCTCTCTCCACCCACCTCCCCCTCAGCCTCCTCCCATCCTTATCCCGAGCTCATCGGCTCCCTCATGTACGCCATGGTCTCCACTCGCCCTGACCTTGCCTACCCCATCAGCGTCCTCGCTCGTTTTGTTGGCGCAGGCAAGCATACGGAAGAGCACTGGCAGGCCGCCAAGCGTGTCCTCCGGTACCTTCGTGGCACCAAGGACTATGTCCTTACCCTTGGCGGCCCCTCCCCACCTCTCCTCAGCGGCTACAGTGACTCCTCCTGGGCTGATTCCCGGCCAGATCGTCGCTCCTCCCAGGGCTATGGCTTCTCTCTTGGCAGCGGCCTTATCAGCTGGCGCTCCACCCGCTCCTCGGCTGCAGCCCTCTCCTCCTGCGAGGCGGAATTGTATGCCGCCACCATGGCTGCGCAAGAGGCCCGCTGGCTCACCTTCCTTCTTGAGGAACTTGGTGCCCCCCAGCGCTGTCCCACAATTTGGTGTGACAATGCTAGTACCATTCACCTCACCAAAGATGCTGTGTTTCACGGGCGCTCCAAGCACATTGAGCTCCGTCATTTCTTCATTCGCGATCTTGTTCAGGCGGGGCACCTTCGCCTCGACAAGGTTGACTCGGCGGCCAACCTTGCCGACATCTTCACAAAAGCTCTTCCTCATACCGCTCACTCTCTCCTACTTCGTCTTCTTGGCCTCACTCCTCCTAAGTCGCCTCCCGCCTCTTGATTCTAGCCTTCTAGCCTTATGCATGTTGGGGGGTTGTGTTGTAATTTCATATTTCATACAACATACATAGGCTAGAAGTGTAGCACATTCATAAATTGGGGGGTTGCTTAGTGTACCCTCCAACCACATTTTGTGGTTGGTTGGGATTGGTCCTTAGCTCAACCAATCCCAACCAACACACATTTGTGGTTGCTTGGGTCACAAGCAAGCTCACCCATTGGCCAACTTATTGGCCAATAGGGTAAGCTTTCCTCTCATCTCTCTCTTGCTCATTGTTTGTACTAAAGAGCCTCTTGGCTCATTATTCAATGTATCAATTCTAGCTTTCTAACATGGTTGTGCTGGATTGTTGCAAGGTCAAGGCCTAACTTCTATCCTGTGCCACTTTTGGGACTACACAAGATTGAAGCAAGAATATCTCAAGAACATGCGAGCAGCAGTATATATATACCACCTAGTTTCGAAAGCTGGCCACAAGCATGATCCTTTTGCCAGGGCAGTCCTTACCGCCTTTTCGAAAGTTTGCAACTGCTGATTTCTGCTGGGAGTTTCTCATTTCGGAATACATACATTCATCATTAGGCGCATATTGCAGCACCTTTTGAGACGTCTCAGAAAAAGGTTTGCCCTGCTGACATGCAACAGATGAAGACATGCAACAGATGAAGACATGCAACAGATGAAGACATGCAACAGATGAAGACATGCAACAGATGAAGACGTGCAACAGATGAAGAGCGCAAAGCAAAGCAAAGCAAACTCACCATGCTCGCTCGCTCAGCGAGTGCCATGTTGCGTGCCATGTTGAGTGCCATGTTGCGTGCCATGGTTTGCTTTGCAAGTGGTGTGGTGTGAGTGCCATGTTGCTTGCACTTGCACACCACACCACACCGTCGCCCATCCCCATCCCCCATCCCCATCCCCTCCGCCTATCAACCCCATCAGGCTGTGTACGAGGCAGATGAAGAACTGGGCCTGCAGCACAGCCTCAGCATGCTGCTCACCTTCCTCACTCGCCCACAATCTCCCTGCCACTCTTGCTCCCATCGATCACCCACCCATCACGCTGCGGGGTGTTTTTGAGAATTCTCAAAGACACCCTGCTCCCACTGCCCATCAGGCTGCGTACGAAGCAGATGAGGCACTGGGGTTGCGTAACCTCACCATGCTGTTCAATCGCCCACCAACCCAACTCATTCTCCCCCTTCCCATCACCCCCCATCAGGCGCTGTACGAAGCAGATGAAGCACTGGGTCTGCGAAATCTCACCATGCTGCTCGCCTACCTATATGTCTTCAAGCTGCTTGCTCCGTGAGTCATTCTGACCTTCCAAGCTACTTTTTTTTTTTTTTTTTAGAATGCGTATGCACTATAACAGATGCAAATACATTCACAGTCGTAACTGGACCTTCCAAGCTACTGAGACGACCTTAAAAAAACTCTCCAGTTTGAGAACCAACCTCACCATGCTGCTCGCTTTTCTATACGCGCATTCAAGCCGCTCGCACCGCGAGTTTCTCAGGTCATTATGAGAGCCAAACTATCGAGATGGCCTTTCGAAAGTCAACCATTTTGGGAACCAACCTCTCCATGCTGCTTGCTCGCCTTTTTCTGCGTCATCAAGCTCCTTGCTTGCGCCGTCCGTGTGACTTATGAGGCGCACCTCAATAGGCATCTGTGAGCACCTCAATAGGCATCTGTGAGCACCTCAATAGGCATCTGTGAGCACCTCAATAGGCATCTGTGAGCACCTCAATAGGCATCTGTGAGCACCTCAATAGGCATCTGTGAGCACCTCAATAGGCATCTGTGAGCAACCCCAAGGCACCAAGGAACTTCAGATCTGAGAGACAGCTCTGTTGGTGTTACTTTTGAGCATGCTCTGTCTGGATCTTCTTCTGTCCCTCCCAGGGCCTCCTCCTCTCCTCTTTATGCCCGCTTCCTTCCCGTTTCCAGCCAACGCTTCCTTCTTTTTAGAACTCTTTGTCGTCCGTTTCTCCCTTCGCTCTTCTCGTCTTTACCGCTCTGTGTTGCCGTGCTCATCTTTGCAGGGAGGTTGCATACTCGTTTTTGGGTCGCCTCACAGATGGATTTAAGGAGCTCGACGTTGCTGCCATGATCCACTTGCTACAGTGTGAGTTCTTTGGGTTCACTAACAGAAAAAAATAGATGGTTTCTCATGTGTCAACTGATTGCTTGCACAGTGATTGCGATTTTTCCCCCGGGCAAAAGCAGCTTGCACAAAGGAAAGGCAAACGTGACCACTTTAGACCAGAGAGCCGCTTTTGAGATTTCTCAGACATCCAGCTGGTGATGCAACGAAACCAGGTGACTTTTGAGTCGACTCAAGAGCCGCTTTTGAGATTTCTCAGACATCCAGCTGGTGATGCAACGAAACCAGGTGACTTTTGAGTCGACTCAAGAGCCGCTTTTGAGATTTCTCAGACATCCAGCTGGTGATGCAACGAAACCAAGATGGTGATGCAACGAAACCAAGATCTTTCCACCTTCCTCTTCCCCCCATTATTCCCTCTTCGTTCTCGTTCCATGAAGAGCAGGTAGGCACCCTGGTTTCACCTTCCTCTCGGTTCAGGATCAGGCCTGGCTGGCTGGCGCCTCTTGAGTCGACTGTCGACTCATCAAGCGCCATGCCACTCACAACACGAAATGAGTCAACATGATGGAGATGTTAGAATCCCTCTCCTCTTGTAACCTGCATATATGCTATAAGACAGGCTAGAGTTAACCACCCAAACTTAGTCTGGGTGTACAAACAGGGGTAACCCAGTTTGTAGGTTGGAACCCAACCTTGGTCCAATTATTGGACCCCAAAAGGTTGGGTTGGGTAGAATTATTGGCCCCCTCCAATAATGTTGGCCCAACCCCAACTTGGCCAACATTATTGGACCCCACCAATAATCTCCCAACCCAACTTCTTGGTTGGGGTCCAATAATGTCACCTTAGGTTAGCATCCAACCCCATTACTATGTATACCCCCATGATTCTCAATCAAGTCATCAACTTCATTCCTAACTCCTTCTCTCACATGGTATAGAGCTATCAATCCTAGGCCTACCCCACTCGTTTCAAAGGCCCACCCGGCCGCCGCAACCCCCGGCCTCCTCCCTCATTTTTTTTTCCTCGCGGCTATCCTGCCGCCCTCCCCCCCCTTTAGCGCCCTTTCCCTCCACAGCTCCGCGGCCTCCCTAGCCGCTGCGGCCCGCGCCGCTCCCTTCCGCGGCCTTGTCGCCGCCTCCGCGCCCGCTTCGTCGCGGCCTCGCCAGCCGCTGCCGCCCGCGCCGCTTCTCTCCGCGGCCCCGACGCCGCCTCCGCGCCCGCCTCGCCGCGGCCTCGCCAGCCGCCGCCGCCCGCGTCACTTCGCGGCCTCGACGCCGCCTCCGCGGCAGAGCAGCCGCGGCCTCGCCAGCCGCCGCCGCCCGCGCCGCTCCCCTCCGCGGCCTCGTCGCCGCCTCCGCGCCAGCGCAGCCGCGGCCTCGCCAGCCGCCTGCCGCCCGCGCCGCTCCCCTCCGCGGCCCCGACGCCGCCTCCGCGCCCGCCTCGCCGCGGCCTCGCCAGCCGCCGCCGCCTGTGCCACTCCGCGACCTCGACGCCGCCTCCGCGCCAGCGTAGCCGCGGCCTCGCCAGCCGCCTGCCGCCCGCGCCGCTCCCCTCCGCGGCCCCGACGCCGCCTCCGCGCGCGCCTAGCCGCGGCCTCGCCAGCCGCCGCCGCCCGCGCCGCTCCCCTCCGCGGCCCCGACGCCGCCTCCGCGCCCGCCTCGCCGCGGCCTCGCCAGCCGCCGCCACCCGCGCCACTCCGCGGCCTCGACGCCGCCTCCGCGCCAGCGCAGCCGCGGCCTCGCCAGCCGCTGCCGCCCGCGCTGCTCCCCTCCGCGGCCTCGACGCCGCCTCCGCGCGAGTGCAGCCGCGGCCTCGCCAGCCGCTGCCGCCCGCGCCACTCCCCTCCGCGGCCTCGACGCCGCCTCCGCGCCAACGCCGCCGCGGCCTCGCCAGCCGCTGCCGCCCGCGCCGCTCTCCTCCATGACCACTGCGGGTCCACCCGCAGCCGTCCATCATGGCTAACGCCACACCCTCCCCCTCCCCCCTCCCTCCTCCTATTGATCCCTCCTCCATCGATAAACTGCAGCTCGCAGCGGACAAATCCGCCGTCAACTGGCACTCATTCGTCGGCAGCATCCGACGGGTCCTCTCCGACGCATGGGTTCCCCCCTACTGCGTCCTTGACGTCATCCTCCGCCGTCCCCATGCCCTCCCCCCCACCGAACCTGATCACCCCGGCGAGACTCCTCCTCTCCCTCCCTCTCCTGGCGATCCCCCTCTTGAACCCGACCTCCAGCTCACCACCGACCAAGCCACCGCTGATGCAGATTTCATCTTACGTCGCCGTGCATACCTTATCCGCAAAGCCGAGTACGATGCAGCAGTTGACGCTTATGACCAGGCGGTTGCTGGCCGCAATGCTCACCTCGCCATCGTCGCCAAATACAAAGACGACATGGCTGCCTTCACCCCAAAACTTATCGCCTGGACAGCTGCTGACACCCGCGCCTGCACCGTTCTCCTTGGTGCTCTCCCTGACTCCCTCATGCGCCGCTTCCAGGCTCGGGAACTCCGTGCCTCGGTCATCTGGGCAGAACTCCATGCCATGTTTGAGCGCCGCGACATCAGTTCCGTCGGCATCCTTTTTCAAGAATACTTTTCAATCACCCTCGCCACCTGTGACGGAGCGGTTGACTATGTCGGACGCATGAGAGAGGTAGCTGATCGCCTCGAGGCCCGCCAAGCCGGCCTCTCCGAACCCCTCCAAATCCACCGCCTCCTTTTTAACCTCACCCCAGACTATGAATCCCGCCTTCACGCCTTTACCGAAGCCAATCCCATGGCTGATCTCGCCTCCGTTGAACAGTGGATCATTGATACTGAAGTCAAACTCCGCACTCCCATTGTCAACCTCGCCTCCTCCCAACCCTCCTCCTCCTCCCTCAACGCTACCCAGCCCCGCAAGCAGAGCAAGAACAACGGCAAAGGAGGAGGTGGGGGCAAGGGAGGTGGCGGTCACGGAAGCAGCAGCGCAAGCAGCCGTGGTGGCACCACAGGGGATGAGCATGGCACCACCAATTCAGGCGGAGCCTCTGCGAGCCGCGGGAGTCGTCCTGGCACTCTTCCTCCCTGCACTTATGTCCGCCGCTATGGTCCCCGGGCTGGAACACCCTGCGGGCAGACCAACCATCCTCCTGGCACTTGCTTCAAGGCTCTCGACGATGCCTGGTACGCACGAGGTAACGTTGGCACTCCTCCAAAGTGGGGCACGATTTCCCCACGTCCCTCTCTTGCCGACATCCAAACCAACCCCGCTTACCTCCCTGCCCACCTCCGCCTCCTTGCTCCTCCCACACCTTTCCTCAATCTTCAGCAGCAGCATCTCCTGCAGCAGCAGCAGCAGCAGCAGCAATAGCAGCAGCAGCAGCAGCAACAGCTGTTTCAGCAGCAGCCACAGCAGCAGCAGCAGCCACACCCGCAGCAGCACCCATGGGGAACTGGACTCCAGCCCCAGTGGGGACCCAGCCCTCCTCCTTGGCAGCAGCAACAACTGAATTTTGGCACAGCAGCCATAGCCGCTCAGGCCTCACCGGCCCCCCTTTGGGGTACTCCACCTCCCCTTAGTAGCACTGCCACTCCTCTTTCCCAGGACAGCTTTCTTGGCAACATTACTATCTCACCCTCTCTTCCTTCCATGTACCCATCCAACATTAATGAAACCACTTTCCAGTACTCAGTCTCTTCCTCCTCCTCACCCACTCTGGACTTCGTCCTCGATAGTGGGGCCACTGAGACCGCTCTCAAGGATGCTGGTACACTCACACCCCTCTCTCCTCCCACTCAGGTTCACGGCGCTGACAGCAGCTTTACCATCCCATGCACACACCTCTCCACTCTCCCCTGCACACTCTTCCCCTCTGGTAAGGTAACTGGTCTCCACATCCCCACCCTCCGTAACAACCTCCTCTCCCACCGTGAAATCCAAAATGCAGGTATCACTGCCGTCTATCCAGGTAATGCCACCTACTGTGACCTCTACCACACCGCCACCGGTCGCTTCCTTCTACGCATTCCCCTCTGCCCCCGCACTCGCCTCTACACTCTCCGCACCCCTTGGCCATCCTTCTGCCATGTCACCACTCGTGCTGGCACCTCCACTAACCCTCCCCATCCCCCTACCTCACCTCCGCGACAGCAGCAGCAGCCGCCACAGCAAGGGCAGCAGCAGGGGCCGCAGCAGCAGCAGCAGCAGCAACTGCAGCCGCCGCAGCAGGGGCAGCCGCAACAGCAGCAACAGCAGTCACCTCCCCCTCTCTCACCCTCCCTCACTCCAACCCCCTCCACCTCCGATCATCTCTCCCACCCCGCTGTACTGCTACATCACCGACTCGGCCACCCCAATTTCGCCGCTCTCCGCACTGCCATCTCCTCTCGCCTCCTTCACAGCCTCCCTCCCACTCTTCCTCCCCTCCCTTCCTCTCCAGCCCCTCCATGCCCCTCCTGCATCCACGGCAAACTCAAACAGTCTCCCCACCACAGCCACCCATCCTTTGCTCCCGCTCCAATTGACCTAGTCCATATGGACCTCTGGGGACCCTCCCCCACTCGTTCCCGTCAGGGCCATCGCTACATGCTGGTCCTAGTAGACGACCACAGCCGCTACTCCTCCATTTTCCTCCTCCACACGAAAGACCAGGCGCCGACCATGATCATCAACTGGGCAGAGCAATGCCGCGCCCACTTCAAGCGTCCCGTCGGCCGCCTACACTCTGATGGGGGAGGCGAATTCCTCAATCGCACTCTCTCCCACTACTGCACCACCCATGGCATCCAACAGACTCACACCCTTCCCCACTCCCCGCAGCAGAATGGTGTCGCAGAAAGCAGGATTCGCGAAATCACCAAGATTGCTCGCTGTCTCCTCGCTCACGCCTCCACCCCTCCTTCCCTTTGGGGCTATGCTCTGCTCCATGCTGCCCTCCTCCTCAACCTTCACTCCCATCCTCAACATACTACCACCACCCCCACGGAACTCTGGTCAGGCACCAAACCTGACGCTGCTGGTCTCCGTGTCTGGGGTTGCAAGGCATATGTACTTATCCCTCCACCCGATCGCACCCACGGCAAGCTCGCTTCTCGCGCCCTCGAGTGTGTCTACCTCGGGCACAACCGCGACTCGCCTGGCTACCTCTTCCTTCACCCTCCCTCTGGACGCCTTATCCGCAGCATTGACGTCGTCTTTGACGAAATCACCCCCTATTACTCCTCTTCACCACCAGACCCCCTCCCTCTTCCTACACGTCCTCTCACCTGGACCGACACTGTGCTCCCTCCCCTCCTCCCCCCTGCACCCCTTCTCCCACCTCTCCCTACTCTGCTTCCGCCACCTTCATCTGCCAACATCTACGATCCCACTGCTCCTGCATCCCCTGCACACTCGGTGGCCCCCCCTCCCTCCTCCCCTCCCCCCTCTCCTTCTCTTCCGTCCCAACAGCAGCAGAAGCAACAGCAGCAACAGCAGCAGCAGCAGCAGCAGCAGCAGCAGCAGCAGCAGCAGCAGCAGCAGCAGCAGCGGCGGCGGCGGCGGCAGCAGCAGCAGCAGCAGCAGCAGCAGGGGCAGCAGCAGCAGCAGGGGCAGCAGCATCGGGAGGAGCAGCAGCCGCAGCAGCAGCAGGGGTTCCAGCAGCACCAGCAGCAGCAGCGGCAGAGGGCAATTGCCCGCTCCTCACCCTTCCTCCTCCCTCGCATGCACACCCGCTCCCTTGATCCCATCCTTGGCACACCGCCACCTCCCTCCCTCAACCAGCTCGAGGATTCCCATGAGGAGTTCGCCATGGTCCAGCGCCACACTCCCTCTCTCACCACGCTCTACCCTGGCCTCCTCGGCGCTCTAATCCTTAGCGCGATCTCCGCTCCCACCATCTTCGTCCCCTCCACCTCTCTATGTATACCCCCATGATTCTCAATCAAGTCATCAACTTCATTCCTAACTCCTTCTCTCACAGGAGAAACCCCTAATGATGATTTCATTGCCCCATCCTATCCTATCCCATGGCAGCAGCATGTGGGCTGGCCTGAGATCGGATGACCCTGTGCTGCAAATATGCGTGCATGGCATGGCATGGCAGCATGTGGCTTGCAGGTGGCATACCCTCCCACAACTCCTCAGGCTCCACCCCATTTCTCCACCCAACTCCCCCCTCCTCACTGCAGCGTGCGGCCTTGCTCTGAGAGCCGATGACCCTGTAGCAATGAAGGAGTTCATCCTGGCCGGGCAGAGCAGAGCAAAGCAATGAAGCAGACATAACCCCACTTCCGTCTGCTCCCCACACTGCCATCCACTGCCCTCCACCCCTCCCCACTCCTCCCCACTCCCCTCCCCTCTCCCTCCCAACCAGCGTGCGGCCTTGCTATGAGAGCCGATGACCCTGTAGCAATGAAGGAGTTCATCCTGACCGTGCAGAGCAGAGCAAAGCAATGAAGCAGACATAACCCCACTTCCGTCTGCTCCCCGCACTGCCATCCACTGCCCTCCACCCCTCCCCACTCCTCCCCACTCCCCTCCCCTCTCCCTCCCAACCAGCGTGCGGCCTTGCTCTGAGAGCCGATGACCCTGTAGCAATGAAGGAGTTCATCCCGACCGTGCAGAGCAGAGCAAAGCAATGAAGCAGACATAACCCCACTTCCGTCTGCTCCCCGCACTGCCATCCACTGCCCTCCACCCCTCCCCACTCCTCCCCACCCCCCTCCCCTCTCCCTCCCAACCAGCGTGCGGCCTTGCTCTGAGAGCCGATGACCCTGTAGCAATGAAGGAGTTCATCCTGACCGTGCAGAGCAGAGCAAAGCAATGAAGCAGACATAACCCCACTTCCGTCTGCTCCCCGCACTGCCATCCACTGCCCTCCACCCCTCCCCACTCCTCCCCACTCCCCTCCCCTCTCCCTCCCAACCAGCGTGCGGCCTTGCTCTGAGAGCCGATGACCCTGTAGCAATGAAGGAGTTCATCCTGACCGTGCAGAGCAAGGCAGCTGACATACGGAGGCAGGCGCAGGAGGCACAGAGTGAGGGTGCTGCTGGTGCAAAGGCAGCGCCAGTGCTGAGCAAGCGGGTGAGTGCATGGATGGATGGAGGTGAGAGGTATGGCTGGGTGTGAGATGAAGGAGTTCATTCTATCTGTGCAGAGCAAGGCAGCTGACATACGGAGGCAGGCGCAGGAGGCACAGAGTGAGGGTGCTGCTGGTGCAAAGGCAGCGCCAGTGCTGAGCAAGCGGGTGAGTGCATGGATGGATGGAGGTGAGAGGTATGGCTGGGTGTGAGATGAAGGAGTTCATTCTATCTGTGCAGAGCAAGGCAGCTGACATACGGAGGCAGGCGCAGGAGGTACAGAGCGAGGCTGCTGACATACGGAGGCAGGCGCAGGAGGCACAGAGCGAGGGTGCTGACATACGGAGGCAGGCGCAGGAGGCACAGAGCGAGGGTGCTCCTGCTTCTGGTGGCACCAAGGCAGCGCCAGTGCTGAGCAAGCGGGTGAGTGCAGTGCACCGCTAGTAGCAGGGGCTTTCGGTTCATCCGCTTGTGCCAATCATCCGCCATGCCATCCCTTGCCCTGCCCCATCCCGTTTTTGAGAATTCTCAAAAACCATCCCTTGCCCTGCCCCATCCCCTGCACTGCACTGCTTACCGTTATCGCCCCAACTCACCCCTCACCCGTAACACCCCTTGATCACCTTCCCACCCCCCACCCCAGGTGGAGTTCATGCTCGAGACCATCACAGACATCAAGAACAACCTAGCGCCCCATGCCGTTGGTTGTGCTGCCCCTATTTGTCAACCCTTACACGTCCGCGCCATCCCACCCCTCACAACCACTACCTCCCACCTCCCATCACAGGTAGAGTTCATGCGCGAAACAATCACAGACATCAAGAACAACCGAGCGCCTCGTGTCTCTCCCATTGCATTCCCCACCCCGCGCCCTCCCTCCACCCCTCGTGCCATGGCACCCCTTTGTACTCCTCACAACCACCCCCCCCATCCCAGGTGGAGTTCATGCTCGAGACCATCACGGACATCAAGAACAACCGAGCGCCGCGCAACGCCGGTCGCAGGGGAGGAGGGGGAGGAGGGGGAGGAGGGGAGACCATGCCTGTAGCAGAGGGTGCAAGTGGGGGAGGCAACCTCTCATGCCAACCCTTTCTTCTCCTCACAGCCCCCAACATCACAGGTGGAGTTCATGCTCGAAACAATCACGGACATCAAGAACAACCGGGCGCCCCGTGCCACCCCTTGCACTGCCTGTTGCTGTCACTTCAACTCACCCCCTCTCTCCCCTCACCCCTCATCCATCCCCCATCGCAGGTGGAGTTCATGCTCAGGACCATCACGGACATCAAGAACAACCGAGCGCCGCGCAACTCTCTTCCACTGTATATTATTGTCACCCTGAGTCATCCTTCACCATCCCCCTCTCACCCCTCACCCCTCACCCCTCACCCTTCCCACCCACCTCCCATCCCAGGTGGAGTTCATGCTCGAGACAATCACGGACATTAAGAACAACCGAGCGCCTCGCAACGCCGGCCGCAGGGGGGGCAGTGGGACCATGGGAGGAACAGGGGGAGCAGGGGGGACAGTGATGGGGGGAGGGGGCGCGGCCGTAGGGGGAGGGGGAGGGGCTGCGGGGAAGGGGAAGGGGAAGGGGGCGGTGAGCGTATTTACAAAGGGAGGGGGAGGAGCAGAGGCGAGTGACGGCAGCACTGCCGTTTCTCGTTTGCAAAAGTGGCTGCTCAAGGTGAGTGCAGTGCGGTGTGGTGCGGTGCAGTGTGGTGTGGTGTGGTGTGGAGCGGTGTGGTTTTGTGCAGTTTGATATGGGTGGTGAGCGTGTTTCAAAAGAGAGGTGGGGGAGCATAGGCGAGTGTGGGCAGCACGGCTGTTTCCCGCTTGCAGAAATGGCTGCTCGAGGTGAGTGCGGTGTGGCTGGGTGCGGTGCAGTAAGTTGCGGTGTAGTGTGGTGTGGTGCGGTGAAGTGTGGTGTTGTGTGTAGCGCGGAGGGAAAGTAGGGGGGAAGGGAAGGCGAGTGACCGCAGCACAGCCATCTCCTGCCTGCAGAAGTGGCTGCTCAAGGTAAGTGCGGTGCAATGCGGTATCGTGCGGTTTGGTGTCGTGTGTTGTGTAACTGTACCACAATTAGACGCAGAGGTCGCCACCTCAATTAGGTGCTCTCATCCTCGCCGCTCTTGTTTATGAACAGTGATCACCCCAATCATATATCCTCCCCCTTCTCCTCCCCTTTCCCCCCCCCAGCGTCCAGTCGAAACTGTTCAGCTACGATCGCTGACGTGGCAGCGCCTGATTGACCCGCACAAGCACGGCCAATGGTGGCACACCTCCTCCTCCTCCCAACCCCTCGGCTCCCTACCGGCCACGTCAGCAGTACTGGGGGGCAGCAGCGTCAGCGCCAGCCTGGCGGTCCAGCTGGCGGGGAACGCGCTGCTGGACGCTGCTGACGTGGCGGAAGCTGAGAGGCTGATGCAGCTGGCGGCGGCGCAGAGGATGAACACGGACGCCAGGCGGGCGGTGTTCTGTGTGATTATGAGCGCAGAGGACTATATTGATGCCTTTGAGAAACTGCTGAGGCTGGGTCTACCTGGCAAGCAGGTGTGTTCTCTTGCTTGTGATGCTCCTCCTGTGATAAGTCGATCTTTGACTCAGAGAGGCCACGCCGTGCACGTCTCACATACACTCTTTGACTCAGAGAGGCCACGCCGTGCACGTCTCACATACACTCTTTGACTCAGAGAGGCCACGCCGTGCACGTCTCACATACACTCTTTGACTCAGAGAGGCCACGCCGTGCACGTCTCACATACACTCTTTGACTCAGAGAGGCCACGCCATGCACGTCTCACATACACTCTTTGACTCAGAGAGGCCACGCCGTGCACGTCTCACATACACTCTTTGACTCAGAGAGGCCACGCCGTGCACGTCTCACATACACTCTTTGACTCAGAGAGGCCACGCCGTGCACGTCTCACATACACTCTTTGACTCAGAGAGGCCACGCCGTGCACGTCTCACATACACTCTTTGACTCAGAGAGGCCACGCCGTGCACGTCTCACATACACTCTTTGACTCAGAGAGGCCACGCCGTGCACGTCTCACATACACTCTTTGACTCAGAGAGACCACGCCGTGCACGTCTCACATACACTCTTTGACTCAGAGAGGCCACGCCGTGCACGTCTCACATACACTCTTTGACTCAGAGAGACCACGCCGTGCACGTCTCACATACACTCTTTGACTCAGAGAGGTCACGCCGTGCACGTCTCACATACACTCTTTGACTCAGAGAGGCCACGCCGTGCACGTCTCACATACACTCTTTGACTCAGAGAGGCCACGCCGTGCACGTCTCACATACACTCTTTGACTCAGAGAGGCCACGCCGTGCACGTCTCACATACACTCTTTGACTCAGAGAGGCCACGCCGTGCACGTCTCACATACACTCTTTGACTCAGAGAGGCCACGCCGTGCACGTCTCACATACACTCTTTGACTCAGAGAGGCCACGCCGTGCACGTCTCACATACACTCTTTGACTCAGAGAGGCCACGCCGTGCACGTCTCACATACACTCTTTGACTCAGAGAGACCACGCCGTGCACGTCTCACATACACTCTTTGACTCAGAGAGGTCACGCCGTGCACGTCTCACATACACTCTTTGACTCAGAGAGGCCACGCCGTGCACGTCTCACATACACTCTTTGACTCAGAGAGGCCACGCCGTGCACGTCTCACATACACTCTTTGACTCAGAGAGGCCACGCCGTGCACGTCTCACATACACTCTTTGACTCAGAGAGGCCACGCCGTGCACGTCTCACATACACTCTTTGACTCAGAGAGGCCACGCCGTGCACGTCTCACATACACTCTTTGACTCAGAGAGGCCACGCCGTGCACGTCTCACATACACTCTTTGACTCAGAGAGACCACGCCGTGCACGTCTCACATACACTCTTTGACTCAGAGAGGCCACGCCGTGCACGTCTCACATACACTCTTTGACTCAGAGAGACCACGCCGTGCACGTCTCACATACACTCTTTGACTCAGAGAGGTCACGCCGTGCACGTCTCACATACACTCTTTGACTCAGAGAGGCCACGCCGTGCACGTCTCACATACACTCTTTGACTCAGAGAGGCCACGCCATGCACGTCTCACATACACTCTTTGACTCAGAGAGGCCACGCCGTGCACGTCTCACATACACTCTTTGACTCAGAGAGGCCACGCCGTGCACGTCTCACATACACTCTTTGACTCAGAGAGGCCACGCCGTGCACGTCTCACATACACTCTTTGACTCAGAGAGGCCACGCCATGCACGTCTCACATACACTCTTTGACTCAGAGAGGCCACGCCGTGCACGTCTCACATACACTCTTTGACTCAGAGAGGCCACGCCGTGCACGTCTCACATACACTCTTTGACTCAGAGAGGCCACGCCGTGCACGTCTCACATACACTCTTTGACTCAGAGAGGCCACGCCGTGCACGTCTCACATACACTCTTTGACTCAGAGAGGCCACGCCGTGCACGTCTCACATACACTCTTTGACTCAGAGAGGCCACGCCGTGCACGTCTCACATACACTCTTTGACTCAGAGAGACCACGCCGTGCACGTCTCACATACACTCTTTGACTCAGAGAGGCCACGCCGTGCACGTCTCACATACACTCTTTGACTCAGAGAGACCACGCCGTGCACGTCTCACATACACTCTTTGACTCAGAGAGGTCACGCCGTGCACGTCTCACATACACTCTTTGACTCAGAGAGGCCACGCCGTGCACGTCTCACATACACTCTTTGACTCAGAGAGGCCACGCCGTGCACGTCTCACATACACTCTTTGACTCAGAGAGGCCACGCCGTGCACGTCTCACATACACTCTTTGACTCAGAGAGGCCACGCCGTGCACGTCTCACATACACTCTTTGACTCAGAGAGGCCACGCCGTGCACGTCTCACATACACTCTTTGACTCAGAGAGGCCACGCCGTGCACGTCTCACATACACTCTTTGACTCAGAGAGACCACGCCGTGCACGTCTCACATACACTCTTTGACTCAGAGAGGCCACGCCGTGCACGTCTCACATACACTCTTTGACTCAGAGAGACCACGCCGTGCACGTCTCACATACACTCTTTGACTCAGAGAGGTCACGCCGTGCACGTCTCACATACACTCTTTGACTCAGAGAGGCCACGCCGTGCACGTCTCACATACACTCTTTGACTCAGAGAGGCCACGCCATGCACGTCTCACATACACTCTTTGACTCAGAGAGGCCACGCCGTGCACGTCTCACATACACTCTTTGACTCAGAGAGGCCACGCCGTGCACGTCTCACATACACTCTTTGACTCAGAGAGGCCACGCCGTGCACGTCTCACATACACTCTTTGACTCAGAGAGGCCACGCTGTGCACGTCTCACATACACTCTTTGACTCAGAGAGGCCACGCCGTGCACGTCTCACATACACTCTTTGACTCAGAGAGGCCACGCCGTGCACGTCTCACATACACTCTTTGACTCAGAGAGGCCACGCCGTGCACGTCTCACATACACTCTTTGACTCAGAGAGGCCACGCCGTGCACGTCTCACATACACTCTTTGACTCAGAGAGGCCACGCCGTGCACGTCTCACATACACTCTTTGACTCAGAGAGGCCACGCCGTGCACGTCTCACATACACTCTTTGACTCAGAGAGGCCACGCCGTGCACGTCTCACATACACTCTTTGACTCAGAGAGGCCACGCCGTGCACGTCTCACATACACTCTTTGACTCAGAGAGGCCACGCCGTGCACGTCTCACATACACTCTTTGACTCAGAGAGGCCACGCCGTGCACGTCTCACATACACTCTTTGACTCAGAGAGGCCACGCCGTGCACGTCTCACATACACTCTTTGACTCAGAGAGGCCACGCCGTGCACGTCTCACATACACTCTTTGACTCAGAGAGGCCACGCCATGCACGTCTCACATACACTCTTTGACTCAGAGAGGCCACGCCATGCACGTCTCACATACACTCTTTGACTCAGAGAGGCCACGCCATGCACGTCTCACATACACTCTTTGACTCAGAGAGGCCACGCCATGCACGTCTCACATACACTCTTTGACTCAGAGAGGCCACGCCATGCACGTCTCACATACACTCTTTGACTCAGAGAGGCCACGCCATGCACGTCTCACATACACTCTTTGACTCAGAGAGGCCACGCCATGCACGTCTCACATACACTCTTTGACTCAGAGAGGCCACGCCATGCACGTCTCACATACACTCTTTGACTCAGAGAGGCCACGCCATGCACGTCTCACATACACTCTTTGACTCAGAGAGGCCACGCCATGCACGTCTCACATACACTCTTTGACTCAGAGAGGCCACGCCATGCACGTCTCACATACACTCTTTGACTCAGAGAGGCCACGCCGTGCACGTCTCACATACACTCTTTGACTCAGAGAGGCCACGCCATGCACGTCTCACATACACTCTTTGACTCAGAGAGGCCACGCCGTGCACGTCTCACATACACTCTTTGGGTTTGGGTCTCTGTTCTCCCCCTTTTCGAGGTCTTGGGGCCTCAAAAGTCGTCTTGGGCTCTCTGCTCTCCCCTTTGTTCCCTTCCCTTTTCACACCACAGGACCGGGAGATTCTGAGGGTTCTCGTGGAGCGTTGCCTACAAGAGCGTCCTTTCAACTAGTACTCTGTTTCCAAGCGTGCCCATACAGGGCTTCATTTCAACAAGTACTATTCCCTTCTAGCTGGGCGCCTATGTGGGCACGCTTGGAGTCACAAGTTCAGTCTGCAGTACTGCCTGTGGCACCACCACCACCAGCAGCAGCTCAAGCCTTTACCCCTCCTCCCTCCCTCCCTCTGCCTTTCTGCCTGCCTGCAGGACCGGGAAATCTTGCGAGTACTGGTGGAGTGCTGTATGCAGGAGCGCCATTTCAACAAGTATTATTCCCTTCTAGCGGGGCGGCTGTGTGGGCACGCTCGGAGTCACAAGTTCAGTCTGCAGTACTGCCTGTGGGACCACTACCAACAGCTCCCTGACATGGACCCCCGCCGCTCCCTCCACCTCGCTCAGTTCGCCGCCCAGATCGTGGGCAACCACGCGCTGTCCCTCGCGCTGCTCAAGGTACCGTGTTTATCCCACTCAAGCTAACCCACCACTCGCTGCCAGGCTCGCTACCATTCAAGGTACCCTCGGCTCAGTACGCGCCCAGATTGTTGGCACCCATGCGCTGGCTCTGGCGCTGCTCAAGGTACCGTGTGTTTCCCCTTTGCAGCAGCTGTGATGCACCTCAAACCACTCACCAGGTGCATCCTCTAGGCGACCTAACCCAACCCACCACTCTCTGCCGCTCTCTCCACCTCACTTAGCTCGCCGCCCAGATTGTGCCCCACCCTCTTCCTCCTTCCCTTCCTCTCCCCCACGTGCACCCGTGCATAGCCTTGCACTTCCGCCTCTTCTTCCCTCTTCTTTCATACCCTTTCCTCCATTTCCCCCTCCTTCCTCCTTTCCTCCCCCTTCCTCTCCCACCGTTTCCTCCCTTTCTGTCCCCATTCCTCCCCCCTTCGCCCGCTTCTTTCTTACCCTTTCCTCCCATTCCGCCCATGCCACCCTCCCACCCCACTCCTCCTCCCCTCAGCCGGTGGATTTCGCGGACCCAGCAGCAATGCACGCGCGCATAGCAACCCACTTCCGCCTCTTCTTCCTCTTCCTCCTCTCCTCCTTCCCCCCCACCACCCTCTGGTCCCTCTTCTCCCGCATCGCCGCCCCAACCACCCTCGGCCCGCTACGAGACGGAATCCTCCTCTTCTTCGCCGCCCATCTCTCGCCACACGCGCCGTCCACGCGCCAACTGCTACAGTACATCAGGAGCGGGGGGGGGAGTGAGGGTGGGGGGTCAGCTGCTGGTGTGGGGAAGGGAGGGAAGGAGGAGAAGGTTCTAGAAGAGAGGTTGAGATTGGCCAAGAAAGCGATTGCCAACATTGCTGGGACGCCTTACAAGTAGATACTAGGAAGAGCTTTAGTTGGTGAAGCCTTTCTGCTACTGAGACTGGTGGCTTTCTGTAGAGTGCCAGCTTGGGCTGCTGCTGCTGCTGACTGTCTGTCATCTCCTGCGAGCAGCAGATCGGGAGGAGGCTTAGCAACCAGGAAAAACAGTTGTGGTACCAAAAGCTAGCTGAAAACAGTAGAAAGCCCTTTGGGCCAGTGAGGCCGGTGGCTTGCTGTACAGTGCCAGCATGGACTACTTTTGAGGCGCCTCAAAAGGCTTGCTGTACTGTGCCAGCATAGACTACTTTTGAGGCGCCTCAAAAGGCTTGCTGTACTGTGCCAGCATAGACTACTTTTGAGGCGCATCAAAAGGCTTGCTGTACTGTGCCAGCATAGACTACTTTTGAGGCGCCTCAAAAGGCTTGCTGTACTGTGCCAGCATAGACTGCTGCTTCTCAGAGGCATCTCCAGAGTTTTCTTCGCTGCATCACTATAATACCGTAGTAACGCGCTGCTCGTTTATTCTGCATGCAGAGCCTGCCTACTGTTACGTTTGCGGCATTCCTACTAGCTTTTACCGATTTTTTTATTATCATCATTATTATATTGGCAACTGCTGCTGCACATGAGTTACCTGTAGGCTGTACAGTACAGGAGATTGTCGCTCATGTTTCTCCATGGGCGGAAGGAGGACAACATGTCTGGCGCTGTGCCTGCCCATGTTCTACGGCATGATACGAGCGCCGCGCTGCCGCCGTCTCAACCTTGTTGAGGCTGCATGGTGCCAGTAAGGGAGATTATGGTGCCACAAAATATTCCTGCCTATAGGACGAGGGCTGGGGAGGGAGCGGGGGTTGGAGGGGGGAGGAATGGGGGAGGTGGGGATGGGGGCAGGGTGGGGGACGGGGGGAAAGAGGGTAGGCCAGGGCCTCAGAAGTCAGGATTTTTACCCTGGTTTTCTGATGTTTCGGATGTTTTTTTGAAGTTGTTGGGCTGAGAAAAGCCCTTAGGATCTTTTCAAGGCTAAACTCTTGAGTAGAAGTATTGTATTTGCGGAAGCGTTTTAGTACCGTAACAAGTGTTGAACTACCTTGCGATGGTATGTGAGGGCAAGATAGATTGATTATAGAAAAGTAATACAAGCTTATATAAGATTACAAGGAATATGAAAGGGTGCAACTAATAACTGTTTTACTGTTGTTGTTGCGGTTCGATACAGTGACGACTCGGGCAACTGCTCAGTATCGAGTCAGTTGTTTGTCCTTGCTGTCGCGCTTTATTTGTCAAGTCAAAGGTAGCGACCTTTGACCTTCGCGTTGTCAGAGGTCTACTGGAGATCCCTGATTGATCCTATGAAAGGGTTACAGGCATGTTGGCCTGGGGGGTTATGGGCGCACTGACCCACTACTTAACAAGCCCTTTTATCCCAATGGTTTAGTGGTTGGGATTCTGACATGGTATCAGAGCGAAGGTCTCGAGTTCGAATCCCAGTGTGTGCACCTCGGGCATCTCAGTGCGGGGAGGTGTCAGAGGTCCACTGAAGATCCCTGATTGATCCTATGAAAGGGTTACAGGCATGTTGGCCTGGGGGGTTATGGGCGCACTGACCCACTATTTAACAAACCCTTTTATCCCAATGGTTTAGTGGTTGGGATTCTGACACGCGTAACCTCCAGCAATTTGTCAACCTCCGATGGTTGACTAGCCGTTGCTTCGTTGCTATTTGCTTCGTTTACAGTTCAATGTTCCGACACATCAGAAGCGTTAAGTTACTTGTTTCCAACAGAAGTGACCCTGATCGTTCAGCCTTATATTTTGTACGACACTGAATTTCCATAGTTTTTTTTATTCCAACACTATGTTTTCGGTGTTTTGCGATTTCGAACACTGATGAGTCAGTGTTGTAACGCGCTTGACCCTGAAACTGGAAACTGCATTTCGCCAAGTTTGGCGCGTCGTCTGCATTCAGGTACCCACTGTGCACCGACATCACCCTACACTGGCCGAATTTGGGTGTTATTGTCGAAGGCGCAATCTGATTGGTTGTCCAATGTGTGGCAACGTCGTGCTTGTTGCAGTGTGCTAAGGGAACCCATGCAGGGGTTCTCATTATTGATATAGTTGATCAGTGTTTAATTTTTTGGCACTCTGAGTGCTCAACGTTTTATTTTTTTATATCCTGAAAAATCAGTGTTTTCCCTTGGGATGAAACTGAAAATCAGTGTTGCTAGGTGTCAGAAACTGAATTGTGTGTGCATTGATGTGGGTTGGGGTACATATGCCTAACCCTAACATTTGTACCCCATAAGACAAGCCTCACTACAAGCTATAACATTTGATACACCCCCATATGCCTAAGTGAGGGGTGCCAAGCAAAAACCAAAAGTGTACGGTCATAAGACCAATCACAAAGAAACAAAGCTCAGGGTAGATCACAATGTCACCACACATTCCGAGCACAAGCAGAATGGCCACAAGGCCAATTCAAGAGTCTACAGGTGTATAAGCAACGTGTACAACAAAAACAAGCAACGTCTACACAAGACGAGAATTAGTGTTAACAAGACCTAACTGCACACAATACATGTGGTGGTCACAAGGCGGAAGCGCCTTAGTGAAGATGTCTGCAGTGTTGGCCTCGGACTCCGCAAAGTCCAAGCGAACCTGTCCACGCCTCGGCAACTCTCGCAGAAGAAAGTACCTGACGTTGATGTGCTTCACTCTGCTCTCCAGTCGAGGCTCCCGACAGAGAAGAATCGTCGTCTTGTTGTCAGTGAACAAGGTCGGTGCAGAGCTTGGCCGCTCACCAAGGTCTGTGAGCCAGAAGGTCAACCAACGCAGCTCCTGTGCAGCCATGCTCCAGCGTAGATCTCAGCCTCAACGGTAGAGGTCGAGACCGAGGAGGAGCGCGTGGACCTCCACGAAATAGCTCCAGAGCCCAGGCTGAAACAGTAACCCTGAATAGACATGTGGGTCTCGGCGTCGTCTGCGTAAGAAGAGTCACATTGACCAGTAAGGACGACCGGCTGTGTCCCTCCAAGTACCAGCCCCATGCCTGATGTCGACGCTAGGTGTCAGAATGTTATTATCTAGCCTGTAGTGGGGTGCTCTATAGCGAGTACAACCCTGTTAGGGTTTGCTATATGTATCCCAACTGCTGCTAGTGAAACCCCTCCTCTCTTCTTCATTCCTCATTTTTTCACATGCTATCAGAGCATCTACGCTCCTGGCCTGTGGGCCCACCCTACTGCTTCCGCTGCTACTGACCGAGGCACGCCCTCTGTACCGCCCTCCCCTTAGCGACCCGTCGCGCCGCCCTTAGCGGCCCTCTCACGGCCCCTCGCGCCACCCCTAGCGGCCCCGTCGCCGCCCTTAGCGGCCCCGTCGCCACCCTTCGCGGCCCCGTCGCCGCCCCTAGCGGCCCCGTCGCCGCCCTTCGCGGCCTCGTCGCCGCCCCTAACGGCCCCGTCGCCGCCCCTAGCGGCCCGTCGCCGCCCTTCCAGGCCCCTCGCGGCCCCTTCGCGGCCCCGTCGCCGCCCCTAGCGGCCCCGTCGCCGCCCTTCTCGGCCCCGTCGCCGCCCTTCGCGGCCCCGTCGCCGCCCCTATCGGCCCCGTCGCCGCCTCCAGCGGCCCCGTCGCCGCCCCTAGCGGCCCCGTCGCCGCCCTATCGGCCCCGTCGCCGCCTCCAGCGGCCCCGTCGCCGCCCCTAGCGGCCCCGTCGCCGCCCCTATCGGCCCCGTCGCCGCCTCCAGCGGCCCCGTCGCCGCCCCTAGCGGCCCCGTCGCCGCCCCTATCGGCCCCGTCGCCGCCTCCAGCGGCCCCGTCGCCGCCCCTAGCGGCCCCGTCGCCGCCCCTATCGGCCCCGTCGCCGCCTCCAGCGGCCCCGTCGCCGCCCCTAGCGGCCCCGTCGCCGCCCCTATCGGCCCCGTCGCCGCCTCCAGTCGCCGCCCCTAGCGGCCCCGTCGCCGCCCCTATCGGCCCCGTCGCCGCCTCCAGCGGCCCCGTCGCCGCCCCTATCGGCACCGTCGCCGCCTCCAGCGGCCCCGTCGCCGCCACTTGCGGCCCCGTCGCCGCCCCTTTCGGCCCTGCCTCGCCCCTGCCCCGGCCCCGCCCCGGCCTTTTCCCGTCGCCTGTCGCGGCGCACCGGGGGCCCGTGCACCGCCCCCCCCCCCTCTTTTCCCGTCGCCTGTCGAGGCGACCTGGGGGGGGGGGGGGCGAGCGTCGCCCCTTCTGCTGCCTGTTTTGGCGCCCTGGGAGGCCGCGCGTAGCCCCCCCCCCCCCCAACCTCCCTACCCGCCGTCCCGCCCTGCCCTGTGTTAGGGTCTGGGGGTGGCGAGTAGGGGGTGACGGGTGTGCGGTCTCCCCTGCTCCTCCTCCTCCTTCGTCTCCCACTGCTGCAGCTGTCGCTGAGGGGGGTGGATGTGTGGGAGCCTGGGGTTTAGGGTTTAAGGGGGGTGCTGTGGGAGTGGAGCTAGGGTTTGAGGGGGGTGGATGTGTGTGAGCCTGGGGTTTAGGGTTTAAGGGGGGTGCTGTGGGAGTGGAGCTAGGGTTTGAGCAGGGGGTGTGTGTCGAGGGTGTGGGGCAGTTGGAGGAGGTTGTGTGAAGGTAGCTGTCGTGTCGCCTGCAGCGCCTGTAGTCCGTCGCCCTTGCTTCGGTAGCCAGTGAGCCTGTTGCACCAGTCGCCAGTGGGTCCGTTGCTCCTGCCGCTCGTCTATAGCCGCGGAGCCAGTTACTCCAGTAGTCCGTCGCCCTTGCTTCGGTAGCCACTGAGTCAGCCGCTCCTGTGCCCGTGCCTCTGCAGCTTCAGTCGTTGCCTCCCATCTTCTCTCCCTCCACAGTTCCTCCTCCTCCTCCTCACTTGACCGCTGTGATTAACTCTAGCTTTGCTCGCTATTGTAAACTCCTGCTCTATGCCTGCTTGCTCATTGTGCTGATTACACCCCACTTTGGCTATGGGGGTGTGTCAGAATGTTATTATCTAGCCTGTAGTGGGGTGCTCTATAGCGAGTACAACCCTGTTAGGGTTTGCTATATGTATCCCAACTGCTGCTAGTGAAACCCCTCCTCTCTTCTTCATTCCTCATTTTTTCACACACTAGGTACTTTGCCACCCTCACAGCAGCGGTTTAGTGAACAGATTGGTGTCTCCCTGGCGCAACAAAGCGAGCAAGGATGCTAAGAGGGAAGGCGAGGTCCGGACGAGTACAAGTCATCATGTACATGAGACAGCCCACAAGCTCTGCGTAGGGACCACTAGGCTCAAACGGCTCATTAGGAAAGGGAGTAGTGAGTCTGTGGTCAACAGCAAGAGGTGTGCGCTGTACTGTGGAGTGCTGAATCGAACCGCTGAAGGACCTGCTGCACCATGTGTGACTGTGAGAGTGTAATGGTGCGAGCGGCTCTGTCCTTGGTGATCTGCAGGCCAAGGTAATGGCGTAGCTCACCAACGTCAGTGCACGTGTGTCTCTTCTGCAGTTCGCGCTTTACGTCAGCCAAAGCAACCCTGTCAGCAGTGGCGAAAACCAGGTTGTCGACGTAGACCAGTACAAAGAACGGTGTGGATCCACGACAAACAAATAACGACGGGTCAGCAGAGACGGCTAGAAACCGAGGTCAGACGGGGTAGAACGAAGGGTGTCGTGCCACTCACGAGGAGCCTGACGGAGACCATAGACCGGTCGCCTCAGCCTCCACTAGGTCCCAGGAGGGAAAGTGCCAGTGAAGGCAGAGGGATGATGCAACCAGACCTCCTCGTGTAGGCTACCCTGAAGGAAGGCAGAGGAGAAGTCAAGAGAGTGTAACTCGTAGTCTCTCTGTGCTGCTACGTGCAGTAACACCCGAAGCGTGGTCATCTTCAGGGTAGGCGCGAAGGTCTGAAAGAAGTCAACTCCCTCGCGCTGACTGAAACCTCTAGCCACATTGCGTGCCTTGAAGTCCGGAGGAGATTCCGGGGGCCGCTTCACCTTGAAGATCCACATGTCATCGACTACGTTCGCCCCAAGAGGGGGGAACCTCATCGACGTAAGTGCTTGTGGATCTGTAGGAGGCCATCTCTGAGTCCATGGCAGCTCTCCACTGAGAGGCCCAAGGCCCTGACGTTGCCTCAGCGTAAGTGCGAGGAGTCGGTATGTCAAGGGCGTCGGGGTCTCCCTCAGGAGCGAGCACCACAGAGATGAGGGGAAGCGGGTGCCAGGAACTCTAACTGAAACTGCCTGTCCTCTAGGGCGTCACAGCCAAGGGCAGACTCACCCCTGACGGCCAGAGGACTGGTAGGAGGAGCAGCCACAAGACCGGTGGCGCAGTCAAGGTGGCGAGTAGAGGCAAACTCAGTGACTGCGGCAGTAAGAGCGGAGACAGAGGACATAGAAGGACGTGGGTTGGTAACAAGAGAGGCGAGAACATGAGACAGAACAGGATGGTACGTGCGGTAGTAGTCCGTGATAAGAGTAGAGAGGGAAGCAGTGAGAGCCGACTCAGGAGGAAAAGGAAGTACAGAAGGAGACGAACGAGGCAGACCAGAACGAAGCAGGGCAGTACGAAGGTCAGAGAAGGGAACAGGGGACGAGGGACGAGCACGAGGAGAGCGACGCGAAGGCCAAGTGTGAGGAAGAGGAGGGGACAATGGAGGCAGAGAAGGAGGGAAAACAGCTAGGGAGGGGTCAGGAGGAGGAAGCGGAGGACCATAGACAGGAGGAGAGGGGGAGGAGGGAGGAGAGGGAGAGGGGAGACCGAAGACCAGAGACAGGCAGCGGCTGCTGCTGCTGCTGCGGCTGCGTCTGCTGCTCCTTCCGTTGCGGCGGATGCTACTGCGGCTGCTGCTGCGGCTGCTCCTGCTCCGGCTGCTGCTGCTGCTCCGGCTGCTGTTGCTGCTGCTGCTCCTCCAGCCGCTGTAGCTCTAACTGCTGCCGCTCCAACTCTCTCTCCTCTCGCTCCAAGTGTCGCGATAGATATTTATATATTTGTGTTTCTCGACTATATCTTGTATGCTTTGCTTTTAGTGAAGCTAACTTGTTTGGTCGACTCTCTCGATTCTCCCTTGGCACAACTCCCTCGATACCCGCTTGGCCTAGGCTTCTAAGCCTAGGCCCTTAGTTAAACCCGGTTACCAGCTCAGACCGTATTGTATCACCAACTCCAGCTGCTCCTCACGGGCACAGCGAACTCGGGCCTGGTGCTGGGTCGGGTAGGGGTGGGGGGGAGGAGTAGTGTCCGGAGCAATGGTAGCCCCAGGACCGCTCTCCAAAGAACCAGACGCACCACCCCCAGAGCCAGCACCACCAGAAGTAACAAGGCCCGTCCCAGGCTCTCCAGGTCCAGCAGAGGGTGCACCCTTAATCGTAGCACCCCCAGGGACAGCTCCACTAACACCAGCTCCCCGAAGACTAGAGTGTCCTGCTGTCATGGGCTCAGCTCCAACTCCAACGCCCCTAGAACCAGGACCTTGCACAGGTACGCTCTCTGCTCCAACTCCAGCACCTCTAGAGCTAGCACCTCCAGGGTCCTCGCCACGAAGACCGGCTCCCGCAGGGTCTGCTGTAGGCTGGGAGGAGGAATGCGGGGAAAGAGGTTGCACCTCAGGGGCTACCGAGGGGGGAGGGGTAGCGTGGGACACACCTGACGGGGCGGGACCAGGGGGGGGAGGCTGTACCGGGGGAGCAGGAGGGGGAGCTGAAGTCAGGAAGAGAGGGGGAGGAGGAACCGATAGACCTCGACAGGGGTACCGAGTGTAGTAGGGGACTGACTAAACAAAACCAACGTCGCGGGAGTCAAAGAACCGGTGAAGGGGAGGGTGGTAAAAGGTGAAGTCAGAGGAGTCCACGGGGAAACCAAGGAAGACACAGGGAAGGGCGCGAGGGGAGAGGTTATCCGCGGAGGTGTCGCGAACAAGCGCCAAGCAGCCCCAGATACGAAAACGCAACGCAGCACCAGGGGACCCGGTCCAAAGACTGGTCGGTGAAGCCTCTGGCCAAGAGTCACGTGGCCAGAGGTTCAGCTAGTGAGCGGCGTACCGAACCGCGTAGGGCCACAGAAAATGGGGCGCACGGGCGTGGCGTCAGGCGCGGCGTCGGGCGCAGGGCAGGCACGCGGGCGAGCGGGCGTAGAAGCGCGCGGGCGGGCGCGGGGCAGGCCCACGGGCGGGCGCGTAGGGCAGGCACGGCGAGCGGGCACATAGGGCAGACGCGGGCGGGCGCGTAGGGCAGGCGCGGCGGGCGCTAAGGGCCGGCCCGCTGGCGGGCGCTTAGGGCAGGCGCGGCGGGCTCTAAGGGCAGACGCGGCGGGCGCTAAGGGCAGGCGCGCGGCGGGCGCTAAGGGCAGGCCCGCTGGCGGGCGTTTAGGGCAGGCGCGGCGGGCGCTAAGGGCAGACGTGACGGGCGCTAAGAGCAGGCGTGCGGCGGGCGCTAAGGGCAGGCCCGCTGGCGGGCGTTTAGGACAGGCGCGGCGTGCTCTAAGGGCAGGCACGACGGAACGGGGGACGGGACGGGACGGGCGCGAGAGCGGGCAGAACGCGCTGCAGCAAGCGCGACTGCAGGTGCGCGGCAGACGGGCGTACGAAAGGGCGCTACTGCAGCGTTACGAGACAGGACGGGTGAGGCGCATGAGGCTCGGGAGGCTCGGGCAAGAGGAACGGGATCCTACAGGATCCTAAGCTAGGTGATATCATGTCAGAAACTGAATTGTGTGTGCATTGATGTGGGTTGGGGCACATATGCCTAACCCTAACATTTGTACCCTATAAGATAAGCCTCACTACAGGCTATAACATTTGACACTAGGCTAGGGACACTGAGTGCTCAAGGTACCCAAAAACCAATCTGAGGCCCTAGGGTAGGCTAACGTCACAACTTGAATTCTAGAAAAAATGCTGATGTAATGAATCAGCTCCAGCAATCTTCGCTTTGAACTCCAATTGCCATTTACCATATAGAGCAATACATGGCATAGTACAGCAAACTCGATCGTTCCAAAATCAAGATCCAAAATACCAGTTTTCTACAGTCTCCCGCAAACTCAAACCATTTGAGATGAATGTGTTCCACGATTCGTAGTTGATGATACCATGATTAGGTGCGTACTGTATAAAGCTGCTAAACCTAGCTGATTTCAACGAGCCTGTAACCTGGTGCAGCAGCTGCGCGAACCCAATAACTGCCCAGGACTCGGCAGATGTACACTCTTTGTTTGCATTCTTTGTTGCGAGTTCTTGAGGCGATACATTCGCCTCTATTTGTTCCATTAGATCTGGTATGCTCATAACCTCGTTGATGCACTTCAAGGCGTAGGTTCGGTTGTTGGGGGGAAGCTGGTTACCGAGGATGAGGGCATTGATGTCGAAGAGCGAGTTGACTATGAAGACTTGCGACTTGATGAACTTGGTCGCGTGCTCGGGAAAGAAGCATTTCCACTTGCTCGTTGCGTCTTGAGCTGCAGCGCATTCACACAAGGGCGTGTGACGCGTACACACGCAAAAAGAGATAAGTGTGTAGCAGAGGTTTAGTGTAGCTGTTATAGCAGTGACTGTGGGCTGATACATGTAAAAGACATGCACTGCAGCTTCTGGTAAGCGTCAGCTAACTAGCACTCAACAAAAGCCAGCTTATTAAGCCACTATCTTTCTTACCTTCACTCCTGTAAAAGAAAAGGTAATAATAATAAATAAATAAAAAACAAAACAAAACAAAACAAACAGCTGGATGAATGCTGAATCTGGTTGACTATGGAACACTGTAGCTCACTTGCCTCTGGCGCATCTCGGGTTGCCAATGAAATCATGCAGCGCTGCCATCCGGATTATGGTCCTCTTGCCTCTGTGCTTCTCCCCTCTTCCCTGTCCAACGACTTTTCCGGCGCATAAAAAGGCTCACCTCTTGCACATCTCGGGTTGCTGCCGCTGAAAAGATGCAGCACGGCCATCCGGATTATGGTCCTCTTAACTGTGTGCTTCTCCTCCCTGTCCAACGACATTCCAGGCGCCTAGGAGTCTCACTGACCTTTCAGGCGCATAAAAAAGGCTCACCTCTGGCGCATCTCGGGTTGCCGATGAAATCATGCAGCGCTGCCATCCGGATAATGGTTTTCTTGAATGCGTGCTTCTTCTTCCTGTCCAACGCATCTGGCCACATGGAAAGTTGGGCAGGAAGGGAAGGGAGGTGATTTGAAGATGGTGAGTTAGGGGATTCCAGTGCTGGAAGAGAGGAAAGGAGGTGAAGGGAGGGAGGGGGTTAAGGGAGGGGGTTGGAAGGATAGGAGGGGAGAGGCTGAACTAGCTACATGTACTGTGACGCTTGGATACTGAGAGGATTCAAACGCACCGAGGAAGAAATCCAAGTCCATGAGACAATTGGTGAAAGCAGGGAAGAGTGGAAGGGGAGACAACAGGGCGGGGAGAGACAGACGCACCGAGGAAGAAGGTCGGAGTCCATGAGGCACTTGGTGGTGCAAGGGAAGACAGAGCAGTATCCATGAAAGAGGGGCGAGGGAGAGAACGCACCGAGGAAGAAGCCCGAGTCCATGAGGCACTTGGTGGTTTTGGCGGAGGGCACGAGGGCGGGCAGCTGGTCGCACAGAGTCACCACCGCCTCTGCTCCCGCCGACACCCCCGACAGCAGCACCTGCGACGCCGTCTTCAGCCCGCGCCGGTCGGTCACGTCTGCAGGGGAATTCAGGAATGGGGAATATAGTGGGAATAAGGAAATCTGGTAAGACTCTCCTGACAACTCCCCGGACATAGTACCTGGGACGCCGTTTTCAGGAGGCGGTGTGATAAAGCAGCCTTGATTAGGATCTGCTGGTGAAGCTACGGACGAGACTGTTTGTAACCAAAGCTGTTTTTAGCGGATGTTGATGAACCGAGTAACTCAGCAAGATAAACGTCTCCTGTACTCCTCAAAAGAATCACACCGAAGCGGGTCTAGAAAACCTAGGGATTTGTGAACCCACCTGTGAGGACGGCTTTGATGATGTTCCAACCCGAAAGGTACACTCCTTCGCTTCCGCTCACGTTCTTGAACCCCGCGCGGCCCGCGAATCCACCCCCGTCGCAATACACTGGCATCACTAAGTTCCAATTGTAAAACCGTGGATTTTCCGCCTTGTTCACACTTAAAATTCCGCGGTACCCCTGCGAGGCCTGGAGGGGAGGCGTGACGAGGGATTGAAAGCGAATTCCTCAGGAGGGAAACATTCCCAAATCTCGAGTGGTAGCAGGGAAGACAGGTTTGCACGTCGATGCCTTTCGTTCTTTCGAGCAGGGTATCTTCGAGAGAAGTAAAAGGTACCCTGTCATGACGTTTGAGCCGGCTCACACGCCGTTCACGGTAGAAATTCTTCCTTGAGGCACTGGCACTTTTGAGTCGACTCAAAATGTGTCGTGTGCCATTGTAACGAGGTGACTTTTGAGTCGACTCAAAAGTCTCCTTGAGGCACTGGCACTGTTAAAGGACGCATAAAGTGCGCCTTATCACCACCTTAGAGTTCACTCTATAGCCGTACTAGGAAGAAGCCGTGAGTTGAACTTAAAACGCTCCGAGTACGCCTACGCCTACCTTTCATCCGACTCAATCGATACTAGGAAAGAGCGTGGAATCTCATGTAGTAGAACGAGTCGGTGGGTTGAATTGCAGTTTCAGTCTCGTCGAGCCGCGGTAACCTTTGAATCAGTGGTGCAGAAGTCACAGGGAGGGGATGGGAAGCGTGAGAGAGCTTATGAAATCCGGGAGTTAAGGAACATCAGGAGCATACGGGAATCGGGTGCTATAAATGGGAAGATTATGGCGGCTCCCGAATTGGGAGCTTACGTTGTTGAAAGGGTTGGTGGCCTGCAGTTCCGGTTTCGTGGAGCCCGATGTGAAATTATTGAGGTGACTTTTGGACCTCATGAGTCGACTCAAAAGGCAATTCGGGCCCCTCATGAGCTTACGTTGTTGAAAGGGTTGGAGGCCTGCAGTTCCGGCTTCGTGGAACCCGAGTTGAAGTTCTTGGCGCGCCACTTGCACTCCGCGGGCGTCGTGCACCATCCGCCGTACGGCAGAAGCACGTGCCACGAGTCCTTGCCCGAACCGGAGCCTGGCCGAAAGTAATAGCCTGGCGGACTAAGGGAGATGGTTCAACGGGAAACACAGGGGAAATAGGAAAAGCAGGAGTGAGGAAAACATGGGAGGAAAAGGAGAAATAACAATCGTGGCGCGCCACTTGCACTCCGCGGGCGTCGTGCACCATCCGCCGTAGGGCAGAAGGACGTGCCACGAGTCATTGCCCTCGCCCGAACCTGGCCGAAAGTAGTAGCCTGGCAGGATAGTAGGAAAAAGGGGAAGGGAGGGAAGGGTAAGAGGGAATGGAAAACGAACAATCGCGCTTTGTCAAACAGTAGCGGATTCGTGTCCCGCGCCACTGTGCTGTTCGGGCGTCGTTCACCAACCGCCGAAGAGAAGGAGGCTGTGTGGTAACGCTGTCCGACATATCTGAAATCCCTTACCTTCCGTCGAGACATTTCGCGCCAAATCGGTTTTTCGGCAGCAAAGTGAACGTCAGTCCCGTCCCAGCGGAGGTGACGGGCGCTGACATTGGTTTTCCCACTTTCCCAACTGAGGGATCGAGGAATGACAGCAGCATAACGCAAATAGTCGCAGCGGCAGCGCGATTGAGAGAACGAATACTAAAGCTTGTCGTCATCTTGATGCTCACGGCAGCGAAAGACTGCTTCTATGTAGCGCGATAGGACGAACTAGGCGTATCTATTTGACGAGCAACTCTGACTGGCCGCGTAGCTAACAGGTACAGTTACGTCATGTGAGTGTCTGTATCGTCAGCGATGGTATGCATGTACCGCTAGCAAGAAGCAATGCCGAGTGACGGCGTTTGGGTGTCATCAGGAGAGTTGTATACAGCCGACCGTGGCGGGTGAGCCTGATAGTGAGTTTCTGACCACGATGGTGGTGAGCCAATGAGAAACGCGTGTGGCTTCGTTCCTTAGCCACCCGCCCATAGCTGATCGTACGAGATTGGTCCAGCACAAGCTGTCGGTCCTTGTTGCTTGGTCAAGGGTAAATCAGCCATGTCCCATGCATCACGCACGCTGAAGGGTGATTCTTGCGGCGGGGCCACAAGAGTCTTTGGAGGATGGAGCAGAAATTTTGGGGCACGAATTTCGACGCACGAATTTCCACGGATGTTGAATCTCTCCGTCAAACCGCCTCCAGAAGCTGAGGCGAGCGAATCGCGTGAGAATTTGGTTTCATGGAATGCGGTTCGGATAGCGTCTGCATGCGCCGCCGCCAAAGTCCAGCTTATACCACGGACAGCCACGCTGGTTCATGAGGAAAATGTGAAATCTGACAACCAATCAGAACTCACGACGAGGTCCTGACCTAATGTTACGGGTCCGCCCAGCCCGAGTTAGCGAGGACTGCACTATTTGGGAAAAGGATACAAAGTATGAGCTAAGAGAGAATACTAATGTGCTAAAACATGCAACGGTTACGAGGTGCGTGCAAGCTAGTTAGTGCTAGGCTGGCATCGAGGTTCGGGCTAGTCCCGAAGCGTAGGCCGACTAGGCTGTGCCGGCACTGCATGGCTTGGTGAAACAGTGCGCGCGAAGTTGGCGAAGCCCCATTACCAGTAACGAGCGAACAACTTGTTGGAGTGTGAAGGAAATTGTACTTGGCATTCCAGTAGGTGCAGTAGTATCGCACCTGACTCTGTCGAAGCAGTAACTACCGCAGTATCGGATCAGCCCGTAACAAGGGCAGGAAGGTCAACAGTCGCAAGAGTCAACTGTCGCGACTGTTGACCATCTGGACCGACGCTTGACTTACCATCAAGGAATGGCAACAGGCGTAACCGTACAGGTTACATGCAGCGACTCGGTAACAAGAAAGGCAGTACAACAGTCATAGTCACTGTAGAAATGCCTGTAAAACAGTTGTAATAAAGGAATGTACCCCTTAGAGTACATGGCTAGGCTAGGACTATTTATATTCCTTGTATTCTATCTTTTAATCAACTTGGTCATTTACATTCACTATGATCTGAGTTCTTACAAGACTTCCGCTACCAACTCTACCAAAGCACTTCCTCACTCTAACATGGTATGAGAGCTAGTTTGGATTATAGGATCTGCTAAAAGGGGCTTCCGACAAAGCTTCTTTATAAATTAAACCTCAACATCAACGACATCAAGGGCATCAACATGCCAGGCGCAGACTGCGGAGAGGCTGGGGAAAACCCAGTGCAACCCTCCACCAATGTCGCCTCTACTACGACGACCGTGGACACAGCGCTCCTCGAGCAGCTGATCTCCCGCATCAGTGCACTGGAGAGCCACCAGCCCATGAGCATTGACGGCTCAAGTTACGCCCGAAACCTCCCGATCCTCAAGGAGCTGGATCTGAACGATCCTTCACCTTCGACAACCGCTCAAGGATCTGCTCAAGCACAACAAACACATTACGAGGCAATGGCTTTAATGCAGAGCAAGTTCCTCTCCACGTCGAAGCTCAGAACTACCAAGCCCTTCGACGGACAAGACTAACAAAGTACTAGCGTGAGTTTGGCTTAGGAGCCATAGTTTAGGAGCCTTGGTAGTTGAGTTCGAGGGTGAGGAGAGTGTCGAGAAAGTTGTGAAGGGGAATGAGGGTTTCACTATAGGTTCAAGGGTACAAATATAAAAGAAGTGAAGCAAGGTGCACCACCTAACAAGCAAGGTAACTACACTAAGTCTACATTGCAGGCAGTTATAAAGTGATGTATACAATAACATTCTGACAAAGACTTCTACACGTGGAGTTTCGAATTCGAACTACTCGCTCAGGGCGCTCAGATCTGGATGTACTACGACGGATCATACCCCTTCCCAACAAACGGCTCACCTCAGGAGAAGACGCAATACTACAACGAATCACTCCTGGCCTTCACCGTCCTGATCCGGAACTTGTCGCCCAAAGAACAGCTGAGCATTCGCCCCTTCAAAAACGAATGGGCGCCCGCGCAACAGTCCTGGGAACATCTGCGCACCTGCGACATGGCAACAGATTCGGTGACACTCAGTCGCCTGCTCAACCAGCTGAACAACGTCAAGATGTTTCATTCAGAAACAAGAAGTGATTGAACTATGAAAGATTGGAGTACAAGTATGAAACCCTAGAGTTGTGTACCCCCTAAAGGCTAACCCATAGCCTACACAACAATAACATATATATAATGTTTGACACACCCCCATAGGCAAAGTGGGGAGAGCAAGGGGTCACAAGACCAGTCAAGAAAGGCAAAGCAAGCTCAGGGTGGATCACAACGTCACCACACACTCTGAGCACAAGCAAAGGACCACAAGGCCAGTTCACATGCAGAGGCATATATGTAGCACAAACATCACAGTGATCTATATGAGGCAAGCATGCAGGTGTATACATATATAGATCACAGTACGGGCAGAGTCTACAACAAGTGAGGAAAAGTGGGCACAAGCCCTAGCAAAGTGCAGAAACGCTGATGATCACCAGACTGAAGTGCCTTGGTGAATATATCAGCAGTGTTGGCCTGAGTGGCCACGTAACGCAGACGAAGCTGACCACGCTGCTGCAACTCTCGAGCCAGAAAGTAACGTAGAGCGATGTGCTTCGTCCTGTGCTCCAGTCTGTGCTCCTCACACAAGGCAATAGCAGCCTTGTTGTCGACGTACAGCACTGGAGGAGAACGAGGCCGCTCTCCCAGGTCGGTCAGCAGGTAGGTGAGCCAGCGTAACTCCTGTGCAGCCATGGCTGTGGCGTAGATCTCAGCCTCACAACTGGAGCTGAGAACTGAAGACGAACGAGTAGAACGCCACGAAACTGAGCCAGAGCCAAGGCTGAAGGTGTAACCCTGTGACGACCGCTGAGTAGCCTGGTCGTCAACCCAAGAAGGGTCTGAGTGCCCAGTGAGAACAACTGAGCTCCCTCCTCCAAGCACGAGCCCCATGCCCGATGTACTGCACAAGTAGCGCAATACCCTCTTTGCAGCATCCCAGTGCACCTTTCGGTGCCTGCCAGGAGCCACATAGCGGGCCAGAAGACCAAGAGGGTATGCTAGGTCAGGACGAGTGCAAGTCATCAGGAACATGAGGCAACCAACTAGCTCTGGGTAAGGACCACTCGGCTCTACGGACTCATCCGAAGGCAGAGCTGAGAGCGAGTGACCTATAGCCAGAGGAGTGGCCTGTGCTGAGGACCAGGTGAAGCCGAAGCGCTGAAGGACCTGCTGCACCATGTGTGACTGAGTCAGTGTGATGGTGCGGCGTGCTCTGTCCCGGGTGATCTGCAAGCCAAGGTAGCTGCGCAGTTCACCCAGGTCTGTGCACGTGTGTCTCTTCTGCAGCTCCGACTTCACGTGGGCGAGAGCCTCAGTGTCAGCAGTGGCAAAGACCAAGTCGTTGACGTACACGAGGATGTAGAACGGCGGCAGCGAAGTGTCGGCGCACAGAAACAGCGACGGGTCAGCAGTAGAAGGCGCGAACCCAAGTGCCGCAAGAGTAGTCCTCAGTGTGTTGTGCCACTCACGTGGCGCCTGGCGGAGACCGTAGACCGGCCGCCGGAGGCTCCACTGGGTACCAGGAGGGAACGACCCAGTGAAGCCAGGAGGGCGGCGCAGCCAGATCTCCTCGTGCAGACTGCCCTGCAAGAAAGCTGTGCTGAAGTCAAGAGAGTGAAGCTCGTAGTCACGCTGAGCGGCAACGTGCAGTAGCACCCGAAGAGTGGTCATCTTCGGGGTGGGGGAGAAGGTATGGAAGAAGTCTACTCCCTCTCGCTGACTGAAGCCTCGAGCAACGTAACGAGCCTTGAAGACAGGCGGAGAACCTGGCGGCCGCTTCACCCTGAAAATCCACATGCCACTGACAATGTTCGCCCCAGGAGGGGGAACCTTGTCGACGTAAGTGCCAGTGGACTTCCAGGATGCCATCTCTACGTCCATGGCTGACTGCCACTGAGAGGAGTACTCACCCGCGATCGCCTCAGCGTAAGAGCGCGGGGTCGAGATGTCTGGTGCATCCGGGTCTCCCTCAGGGGCAATCAGCATGGACACGAGATGAGGCGCAGCGGCTGCAAGACACTCAAAGTCCTCC